GTCTGATGTAATTGATGCGGGTAAGGTGAGGTAACAAGTGTCTGGGTAACAATTGATGGGGAGTAACGTGCAGTAACAAGTCTCTGGTAACAAATGATGGGGAGTAAAGTGGGGTAAGAAGAGACTGGGTAACCCATGTTGCTTGAATAAGGTAGAGGTAACAAGAGACTGGGTAGCCTGTGTTGGGAATGGAGTGGGATTAACAAGTGACTGGGTAACCCGTGTTGGGGAAGTAAGGTGGGATAACAAGGAGACTGGGTAACCTGTGTTTGGGGGAGTAAGGTGGGATAACAGAGTGACTGGGTAACCTGTGTTGGGGAGTAAAGGTGAGGTAACAAGTGACTGAGTAACCTGTGTTGGGAGTAGGTGGGATAACAAGTAGCTGGGTAACCTGTGTTTGGGGGAGTAAGGTGGGATAACAAGTGACTGGGTAACCTGTGTTGGGGAGTAAGGTGGGATGAACAGAGAGGCTGGGGTAACCTGTGTTGGGGAGTAAGGTGGGATAACAAGAGACTGGGTGTTAACCTGTGTTTGGGGGAGTAAGGGTGGGATAACAAGAGTGACTGGAGTGAAAAACCTGTGTTGGGGAGTAAAAGGTGGGAGGTAACAAGCTGACTGGTTAACCTGTGTTGGGGGAGTAAGGTGGGATAACAAGTGACTGGGTAACCTGTGTTGGGGAGTAAAAAGGTGGGATAACAAGAGACTGGGTAACCTGTGTTGCTTGGGGAGGCAAAGGTGGGATAACAAGAGGCAGGGCAACATGGGATGGGAGTAAGGTGGGATAACAAGTGACTTTGTAACCTGTGACAGGAGTAAGGTGGGATAACTTAAGTGACTGGGTAACCCGTGTTGGGGAATGGGTGGGTTAACAAGTGACTGGAGGTAACCCCGTGTTAAGAAGGGGTAAGGTGGGATAACAAGAACTGGGTAACCCGTGTTGGGGAGTAAGGTGGGATAACAAGTGACTAGGTAACATGTGCTGTGCTTTAGAGTGGAGTGAGGTAACAAGTGTCACTGGGCAACAATTGATGGGGGAGTAAAAGTAAAAGGTAACAAGTGGCGACTTGTCGCTCAGGTGGAAGTAGCCACTGCACAGGAGGAAGATACAGAGACAGTGGTGAGAGTATTGGTATAACGACCTGACTGTCAGGGTTTACAGTATATGTGTGGAGCGATGTCAATACGGCATGCCCTTCAATCTGCTGTAGGAGCTCAACTAGAGCAACACTTGTAGTAGATACATGGTGTTTATTATGCATATTTTATCACGTGGCATTAGCTATCAGACTAAATATTAATGCTCAATATATTAATCTGATTTAAAGTGTCTTTACGAGTAGCTATATGCACATTTGCTTTAAGAGCAGGTTGCATATCAATATGGGTATGATATCTATTGATATTGTTTCCAGCACCCCAGCAAGTGGGTTAACAGATGATGAGGCAAAGAGCATTATCATCACCGGAGCGGTGGAGCACCCATAAAGTGTGGTAACACGTGTCTAGGTAACATTTGATCGGGGAGTAAGGTGAGGTAAAACAAGTGTCTGGGTAACAACTGATGGGGGAGTAAGGTGAGAAGTAACAAGTGTCTGGTAACACGTGTTGGGGGAGTAAGGTGTGTGTTAACAAGTGTCTGGGTAACCCGTGTTGTGGGAGAATGCGGTGAGGTAACAAGTGTCTTGTTGGTAACACGTGTTGGGGAGTAAAGGTGAAGTTAGTGTTACCATTGGTTGCCTGTGTTGGGAAGTAAAGGTGAGGTGTAACAAGTGACTGGGTAACCCCTGTTGGTAAGGTGAGGTAACAAGTGTCTGGGTGACAATTTGATTGGGAGTAAGGTGAGGTAACAAGAGTCTGGGTAACAATTGATGAGGGAGTAAGGTGAGGTAACAAGTGACCTTGTAACAATTGTACAGGAGTAAAGGTGTGTTAACAAGTGTCTGGGTAACAATTGTGTTGGGGAGTAGGTGAGGTAACAAGTGTCTGGTTAACAATTGATGTGGGAGTAGGTGAGGGAACAAGTGTCTAGGTAACCTGATGTAGTAAGGTGAGGTAACAAGTGTCTGGGTAACCCGTGTTGTGGAGTAAGGTGAGGTAACATGTGTCTGAGTAACTACAATTGAGTGGGGGTAAAGGTGAGGTAACAAGTGTCTTGGTAAGCCGTGTGTTGGGTAACAATTGATGGGCACAGGTAGTAAGGTGAGGAGTAAAAGTGGGGTAACAAGTGTCTGGGTAACAATTGATGGGGAGTAAGTTGAGGTAACAAGCGTCTGGGTAACCCGTGTGGGAGTAAGGTGAGGAGTAGCAAGTGTCTGGGTAACAATTGATGGGGGGAGTAGCGGGGAGGAAACAAGTGACTGTGTAGCTAAGTGTCACAGGTAGCCAGTGTTGGGGTAAGGTGTGTGATGTTAGCAAGTGTCTGGGTAACCTGTGTTGGGGAGTAAGGTAGGGTAACAAGTGTCTGGGTAACAATTGTTATTAAGGGGAGTATCTAGGGTAACAATTGATGGGAGTAAAGGTGAGAGAGAACAGTGTCTGGGTAACAGTGATGGGAGTAGGTGAGGTAACAAGTGTCTGGGTAGCAAGTGTTGGGGAATGGGGAGTAACAAGGTCCTGGGTAAAATGTGTCTGGGCTAACCAGTGTTGGGGGAGTAAGGTGGGGTAACAAGTGTCTTGGTAACCCGTGTTGGGGGAGTAAAGGTGAGATGGGTTAGTGTTACAGTGTTGGGTAACCTGGTGTGTTGGCTTGAGAATAAGGTGGGGTAACAAGTGACTGGGTAACCCGTGTTGGTGATGTTAAGGTAGGTGGTAACAAGTGTCTGGGTAACAGTTATTTGATGTGGAGTAAGGTGGAAGTAACAAGTGTCACAAGGGTTGCCCGTGTTGCAGAGTAAGTAGCAGCAACAAGTGTCTTGGAAACCAGTGTTGGGGGAGTAAGTTGAGGTAACAAGTGTCTGTGTGGTAACTAGTGTAAAAGGGGGAGCAGGGTGTCTTGGCCCGTGTTAACAAGTGTCTTAGTGTAACTGGGTGGCAATGTTCTGGGGAGTAAGCTGGGGTTACAGATGTTACTGGAGTAACCTGTGTGTTGCAGGGGAATGAGGTGGGGTAACCAGAGTGACTGGGTAACCGGTGTTGGGGAGTAAGGTGAGGAGTAACAAAGTGTCTGGGTAGCCCGTGTTGGGGAAAGTTGAGGTAACAAGTGTCAGGTAACAATTGATGGGGAGTAAAAGGTGAGGAGTTAGTGGTGCTCAGGGTAACAATTGATGGGGAGTAAGGTGAGGTGGCACCAGTGACCATTGTAACCCGTGAAATTTGGGAGAGTAAGGTGTGTTAACAAGTGTCTGGGTAACCCCGTGTTGGGGAGTAAAAGGTGAAGTAACAAGTGTCACTGGTTTAACAATTGAGTGGGAGTAGGAAACCAGTGAGGGGGAGTAAGAGGTAACAAGTGTCTGGGTAACCAGTGTTGAGTAAAAGGTGTGGGTGGGGGGTAACAAGTGTCTGGGTAGCCCGTGTTGGGGTGCAAGAATTAACAGGGTACCGTGTGGGGAGTAAGGTGGCTCAGGTAAGGTAGGTGAGGTAACACGTGTCTGCATGTGTAATTGATTGGGAGTAGGTGGGGTAACAAGTGTCTGGGTAACAATTGATGGGGAGTAAGGTGAGGTAGTAAGTGTCTTGGTAACCTACGATGATATTTAGGTAAGGTGAGGTAACAAGTGTCTGGGGTAACAGTTGATAGGGGAGTAAGGTGAGGGAAACAAGTGTCTGGCTGAGTAACAATTGAAGGGGAGTAAGGTGAGAGTAACAAAAAGTGTCTAGGTAAGCCGTGTTTGGGGAGTAAGGTGAGGTCCTTGGAAAAGTGTTGGGGGAGTAAGAAGTTGGGAGTAACAAGTGTCTTGGGGGAGTAAGGTGAGGTAACAAGTGTCTTGGTAACCATGTGTTGGGAGAATAAGCTGAGGTTAGTGTTACTGAGTAACCTGTGTTTGTAAGGTGGGTAACCAGTGTTGGGGAAGTAGTAGGTGGGGCAGGCAAGTCACTGGGTGTTAACAATACAGTGATGTTAGGAGGTAAGAAGTGAGTAACAGAATTGATGGGGGAGTCTGGGTAACCCCGTGTCTGGAAGCCCGTTGTTGGGGAGTAAGGTGAAGGTAACAAGTGTGTCAGATGAGGATAACTGGGTGGTGTTGGGGTACAATTGAGTAGGTGTAAGGTGAGGTAACAAAAAGTGTCTGGGTAACAGGTGTGTTTGAGGAGAGGTAATGGTGTTGAGGTAAAAGGTGTGACTGGGTAACCTGTGTTGGCAGAAGTGTCACGAGGTAGCCCCTGTTTGCAGGTGGGGCAACATGTCACTGGGTAGCCCGTGTTGGGGGTAAGGTGAGGTAACAAGTGTCTGCGGTAACAATTGAATTGATGGGAGTAAGGTGAGGATAACAGAGTGTGATGCTTGTGTTGGGAGATAGGTAGCAGCGTGTTGGGGGTAGTAGGTGTGTTAGCAAGTGACTGGGTAACCTGTGTTGGGTAGGTGAGTAAAGTGACTGGGTAACCTGTGTTGGGGAGTAAGTGGTAACAAGACTGAGTCAATTGATGCTGGGTGTGAGGGGAAACAAGTGTCTAGGTAACAATTAGAGTGAGTATGGCATAGACAGTGGTAGAAAGTATTGGTATAGGTGAAAACCCTGACTGTCTCGGGTTTACAGCATATGTGTGGAGTAAGGCGAGGTAATATGTCACAACACCCACTTCAATCTGCTGTAAGCTCAACTAACAAGTGCTAGGTAACACTTGTAGTAGATACATGAGTGTTTATTATGCATATTTATCACATGTTTGTCAACTACTCAGACTAATATTAATATCAATATATTAATCGATTAATATGGGGTGAGGTCACGAGTAGCTATATGTACATTTGCTTCAAACAGGTGCATATCAATATGGGTATGATATCTGTTGGTAGTGACAAGTGTCACAGCACCAATTGATGCAGTCAAGTGGGTTAACAAGATGAACAAGTGGCGGATCATCACCGGGTAGGTAGACACCCATAGAAGTGTGTGAGTAACACACGTGTCACAGGTGGCACAATGGGATGGAGAGTAAGGTGGGAGGTAACAAGCGTCTGGGTAACAACTGATGGGGAGTAAGGTGAGGTAACAAGTGTCTGGGTAACAATTGATGAGGGGAGTAAGGTGACGGTAACAAGTGTCTGGGTACAACAATGTGTTGGGGAGTAAGGTGAGGTAAAAATGTGTCTGGGTAACCAGTGTTGCAGGGGAGTAAGGTGAGGTAACAAAGTGTCTTGGTAACCATGTGTTTGGGGAGTAAGGTGAGGTAAGTGTGACTGGGTAACTGTGTTTGGGGAGTAAAAAAGGGGTGGGGCAACAAGTCACTGGGTAGCCCGTGTTGGGGAGTAGGGTGGGAGGTAACAAGTGTCTGGGTAACCCGTGTTGGGGGAGTAAGGTGAGGTAAAAAGTGTCTGGGTAACCAGTGTTAGGGATGGTGGGGTGTAGTGTGTAAGAGGTAACCAGTGTTTGGGGGAAGTAAGGTGAGGTAAAAGTGTGACTGGGTAGCCTGTGTTGGGAGTAAGGTGGGAAACAAGTGTGTGGGTAACTCGTGTTGGGAGTAAGGTGAGGTAACAAGTGTCTGGGTAACAATTGATGGGGGAGTAAGGTGGGGTAACAAGTGACTGGGTAACCCGTGTTGGGGGGTAAAGGTGTGTTAGCAAGTGACTGGGTAACCTGTGTTGGGGGAGTAAAGTGAGTGAGGTAACAAGTGGCGACTTGTCGCTGGTAGGTGTCCCATGGAAGATACATAGACAGTGGTAGAAAGTATTGGTATAACAAACCTGACTGTCGGGTTTACAGCATATGTGTGGAGCGTGTGTCAATATCACAACACCCACTTCAATCTGCTGTACACTCAACTAGGCAACACTTGTAGTAGATACATGGTGTTTATTATACATATTTATCATATGTTTGTCAACTTCTCAGACTAATATTAATATCAATATATTAATCGATTAATGTCTTCACGAGTAGCTATATGCGCGTTTGCTTCAAACAGGTGCATATCAATATGGGTATGATATCTGTTCATATTGTTTCAGCACCCCAGCCAAGTGGGTTAACGAATGAGCCAAGTGACGTATCATCACCGGGTAGGTAGCCACCCATAAAGTGTGGTAACACGTGTCTGGGTAACAATTGATGGGGAGTAAGGTGAGGTAACAAGTGTCTGGGTAACAATTGATGGGGAGTAAGGTGAGGTAACACGTGTCTGGGTAACAATTGATGGGGAGTAAGGTGAGGTAACAAGTGTCTGGGTAACCCGTGTTGGGGAGTAAGGTGAGGTAACAAGTGTCTGGGTAACCCGTGTTGGGGAGTAAGGTGAGGTAAAAGGTGTCTGGGTAACCAGTGTTGTGGAGTAAGGTGAGGTAAAAGGTGTCTGGGTAACCAGTGTTTGGGAGTAAGCTGAGGTAGCAAGTGTCTGGGGTAACCCGTGTTGGGGAGTAAGGTGAGGTAAAAGGTGTCTGGGTAACCCGTGTTGGGGAGTAAGGTGAGTGGTAAGTAAGGTGTGTCTGGGTAACCCGTGTTGGGGAGTAAGGTGAGGTAACAAGTGTCTGGGTAACCAGTGATGGGGGGAGTAAGGTGAGGTAACAAGTGTCTGGGTAACAATTGATGGGGAGTAAGGTGAGGTAACAAGTGTCTGGGTAACAATTGATGGGGAGTAAGGTGAGGTAACAAGTGTCTGGGTAACCCGTGTTGGGGAGTAAGGTGCGGCAACAAGTGTCTGGGTAACCAATGTTGGGGAGTAAGGTGAGGTAACAAGTGTCTGGGTAACTCGTGTTGGGGAGTAAGGTGAGGTAACAAGTGTCTGGGTAACCAGTGTTGGGGAGTAAGGTGAGGTAAGTGTGACTGGGTAACCTGTGTTGGGGAGTAAGGTGGGGCAACAAGTCACTGGGTAACCCGTGTTGGGGGTAAGGTGAGGTAACAAGTGTCTGGGAAACAATTGATGGGGAGTAAGGTGAGGTAACAAGTGACTGTGTAACTCGTGTTGGGGGTTAAGGTGTGTTAGCAAGTGACTGGGTAACCTATGTTGTGGAGTAAGGTGGGGTAACAAGTGTGTGGGTAACCCGTGTTGGGGTGTAAGGTGAGGTAACAAGTGTCTGGGTAACAATTGATGGGGAGTAAGGTGAGGTAACAAGCGACTGGGTAACCCGTGTTTGGGGTAAGGTGTGTTAGCAAGTGACTGGGTAACCTTTGTTGGGGAGTAAAGTGAGGTAAATAACAGGCGGCGACTTGTCGCTTGGTAGGCGTCCATTGAAAGATACATAGACAGTGGTAGAAAGTATTGGTATAACAAACCTGACTGTCGGGTTTTACAGCATATGTGTGGAGGCGCGTCAATATCACAACAATCTTACTTCAATCTGCTGTACACTCAACTAGGCAACACTTGTAGTAGATACATGGTGTTTATTATACATATTTATCATATGTTTGTCAACTTCTCAGACTAATATTAATATCAATATATTAATCGATTAATGTCTTCACGAGTAGCTATATGCGCGTTTTGCTTCCAAACAGGTGCATATCAATATGGGGTATGATATCTATTCATATTGTTTCCAGCAGCACCCCAGCCAAGTGGGTTAACGAATGAACCGCATTTTGACGTATCATCACTGGGTAGGTAGCCACCCATAAAGTGTGGTAACACGTGTCTGGGCAAATAAATTGATGGGGAGTAAGGTGAGGTAAACAAGTGTCTGGGTAACAATTGATGGGGAGTAAGGTGAGGTAACACGTGTCTGGGTAACAATTGATGGGGAGTAAGGTGAGGTAACAAGTGTCTGGGTAACCCGTGTTGGGGAGTAAGGTGAGGTAACAAGTGTCTGGGTAACAATTGATGGGGAGTAAGGTGAGGTAACAAGTGTCTGGGTAACCCGTGTTGTGGAGTAAGGTGAGGTAACAAGTGTCTGGGTAACCCAAAGTTGGGGAGAAGGGGTGAGGTAAAAGGTGTCTGGGTAACCAGTGTTGGGGAGTAAGGTGAGGTAAAGGTGTCTGGGTAACCAGTGTTTGGGAGTAAGGTGAGGTAACAAGTGTCTGGGTAACCCGTGTTGGGGAGTAAGGTGAGGTAAAAGGTGTCTGGGTAACCCGTGTTGGGGAGTAAGGTGAGGTAACAAGTGTCTGGGTAACCCGTGTTGGGGAGTAAGGTGAGGTAACAAGTGTCTGGGTAACCCGTGTTGGGGAGTAAGGTGAGGTAAAAGGTGTCTGTGTAACCAGTGCTGGGAAGTAAGGTGAGGTCACAAGTGTCTGGGTACAAAACAGTGAGTCGTCTAGCTCTAGCCTTAAAACAGTGAGTCGTCTAGCTCTAGCCTTAACACGGTGAGTCGTCTAGCTCTAGCCTTAAAAACAGTGAGTCGTCTAGCTCTAGCCTTAACGACAGTGTGTCGTCTAGCTCTAGCCTTAAAACAGTGAGAGTCGTCTAGCTCTAGCCTGAAAACAGTGAGTCGTCTAGCTCTAGCCTTAAAAACAGTGAGTCGTCTAGCTCTAGCCTTTAAAACAGTGAGTCGTCTAGCTCTAGCCTTTAACACAGTGAGTCGTCTAGCTTTAGCCTTGGCATACAGTGAGTCGTCTAGTTCTAGCCTTATTAAAAGAGTGAGTCGTCTAGCTCTAGCCTTAAAAACAGTGAGTCGTCTAACTCTAGCCTTAAAAACAGTGAGTCGTCTAGCTCTAGCCTTAACACGGTGATTCGTACCTTACTTCAATCCAACTTCACGTATCTAGCTCTAGCCTCACAACCAAGCAGAGGGAAGACAGTGTTGACAGAAAGTATTACAAAATCATCGAAGAGGCACAAAAATGACACTGTTCATGTACAGTAATAAGTCGGTGTCATAGTATTCATTGCCCATTGATTGCTGGATTGATAAAAGTCCTGGGCCTAGATTTTCGAAGCCCTCTTAGCGCTTCAAGATAGTCGTAGGTGCCATACATTAACATTAACTTACGACTATCTTAGCGCTAAGAGAGCTTCGAAAATCTAGGCGCTGATACTCATTCGTTGGGAAGAATAAATGCAGTCGTTTGTCAAAACAGTACAGCAGGCAAAATACTGACGTCATCTTCTATACGTGTACACACAATGTCCCCACAAGTATTCGCAATTTGGTCATAGTTCTTACTTTTCAAATCATCAGTCAGTAAGACTGAAATACAGACGACGTGAAGCTTATCTTAATTACGACGCTTCAAATAATATTATGTTGTTTAGTTTGACAGATTAGGCGACCAGCTAGTTTCATTTCTGTATAATTGCTTAAACAACCACACTACAAAGGTACATGTCCATATGGATAATTTACACTCTCGTGTTGTTTCAGCTATCCAGCCAATTGGCTTCACCAATGAAACAAGAGGCGACTTGTCGCTGGGTAGGTGTCCACTGGAAAGATACATAGACAGTGGTAGAAAGTATTGGTATAACAAACCTGACTGTCGGGTTTACAGCATATGTGTGGAGCGTGTCAATATCACAACACCCACTTCAATCTGCTGTAAACTCAACTAGGCAACACTTGTAGTAGATACGTGTTGTTTATTATATATATTTATCACATGTTAGTGTGGTAACACGTGTCTGGGTAACAATTGATGGGGAGTAAGGTGAGGTAACGAGTATCTGGGTAGCAATTGATGGGGAGTGAGGTGGGGTAACAAGTGTCTGGGTAACCCGTGTTGGGGAGTAAGGTGAGGTAACAAGTGTCTGGGTAACAATTGATGGGGAGTAAGGGGAGGTAACAAGTGTCTGGGTAACAATTGATGGGGAGTAAGGTGAGGTAACAAGTGTCTGGGTAACAACTGATGGGAGTAAAGGTGAGGTTACAAGTATCTGGGTAACAATTGATGGAGGGTAAAGGTGAGGTAACAAGTGTCTGGGTAACAATTGATGGGGAGTAAGGTGAGGTAACAAGTGTCTGGGTAACAATTGATGGGGAGTAAGGTGAGGTAACAAGTATCTGGGTAACAATTGATGGTGAGTAAGGTGAGGTAACAAGTGTCTGGGTAACAATTGATGGGGAGTAAGGTGAGGTAACAAGTGTCTGGGTAACAATTGATGGGGAGTAAGGTGAGGTAACAAGTGTCTGGGTAACAATTGATGGGGGAGTAAGGTGAGGTTACAAGTATCTGGGTAACAATTGATGGGGAGTAAGGTGAGGTAACAAGTATCTGGGTAACAACTGATGGGGAGTAAGGTGAGGTAACAAGTATCTGGGTAACAATTGATGGGGAGTAAGGTGAGGTAACAAGTATCTGGGTAACAATTGATGGGGAGTAAGGTGAGGTAACAAGTGTCTGGGTAACAATTGATGGGGAGTAAGGTGAGGTAACAAGTGTCTGGGTAACCCGTGTTGGGGAGTAAGGTGAGGTAACAAGTGTCTGGGTAACCCGTGTTGGGGAGTAAGGTGAGGTAACAAGTGTCTGGGTTACCCGTGTTGGGGGTAAGGTGTGGTAAAGGGTGTCTGAGTAGCCCGTGTTGGGGAGTAAAAGGTGAGGTAAAGGGTGTCTGGGTGGCCAGTGTTGTGGAGTAAGGTGTGTTAGTAAGTGACTGGGTAATCCGTGTTGGGGAGTTAGGTGAGCTAACAAGTGACTGTGTAACCAATGTTTGGGGTAAGGTGTGTTAGCAAGTGACTGGGTAACCTGTGTTGAGGTAGGTGTGTTAGCAAGTTACTGGGTAACCAGTGTTGGGGGTAAGGTGTGTTAGCAAGTGACTGGGTAACCTGTGTTGGGGGTAGGGTGTGTTAGCAAGTGACTGGGTAACCCGTGTTGGGGGTAAGGTGTAATAGCAAGTGACTGGGTAACCAGTGTTGGGGGTAAGGTGTGTTAGCAAGTGACTGGGTAACCTGTGTTGGGGAGTAAGGTGGTGGTAACAAGTGGCTGGGTTTCCGTGTTGGGGAGTAAGGTGAGGTAACAAGTGCCTGGGTAACCCGTGTTAGGGGAGTAAGGTGGGGGTAACACGTGACTGGGTAACCTGTGTTGGGGAGTAAGGTGTGTTAGCAAGTGACTGGGTAACCTGTGTTGGGGAGTAAGGTTGGGGTAACAAGTGCCTGGGTAACCAGTCATGTGGTGAATTATTGTTTAGATCCCTTTTTCTCTTAGTTTGATGTTGCTTCCAGTATTGTACAACTAATACTTATAAAGGTTTATTTTAGTTTCAGCTGTCAAAGAAGGTGAGTTTACACATGGCATGAAGGGGCAGAGGGCAAAGGATGTAGTAAGTAGTGACTGTGTAGCATGGTGTGGCAGGAGGAAGTTGCAGCTAGCATGGTGTAGTAGTAAGTGACAGGTAGTACAGTGTGGTAGCAAGTGGCGAGTAACAGGGTTTAAAGTAGTAAGTGGCAGGTGGCATGGTATGGTAATGAAGTGGCTGAGTGGCATGGTGTGGTAGCAAGTGGCAGTTAGCATAGAGTGTGGCACAAGTGGCAGAGTAGCATGGTGTGGTAGCAAGTGGCGGAGTAGCATGGTGTGGTAGCAAGTGTGGGTATGGTGTGGTAGCAAGTGGCAGGTAGCACAGTGTGGCACAAATGCTTGAGTAGCATAGTGTGGTAGCAAGTACTTGGAGTAGCATGGTGTGGTAGCAAGTGGCAGGTAGCACGGTGTGGCACAAATGGCAGTAGCATAGTAGTGTGGTAGCAAGTGGCGGAGTAGCATGGTGTGGTAGCAAGTGGCGGGTAGCATGGTGTGGTAGCAAATGGCAGAGTAGCATGAGTGTGGTAGCAAGTGGCAGGAGTGGGATGGTGTGGTAGCAAGTGGTGTGGAGTAGCACGGTGTGGCACAAATGGCAGAGTTCCATCTCATCCGTCATCCTCCTTTCCTCCTGTCTCTCATCTTTCATCTGTCTCTGTCACAAAGCCTCGTGTCTCACATATAATACTCATGCCATGCAAGTGTCTCTCCTGTGCACATCTCATACTTTCATGCTTAAATACTATAAAATGTAATACTAAATGCTTAAATACTTATAAAATATATAGTAATGCTCATGTAAGAAATAAGATAGATATATGCTAAAATGCTTAAAATGCACAAATGTAATAATGCTAAAATGCTTAAATGAGATAATTAATGCTTCATCTTAAAAATACTTATAAAATGTAATGCTAATGTAAAATGCTATAAGTGTAATGCTAAATGCTTAAATGCTGCAAATGTAATATAAATGTAAAATGAATAATTATATTATAAAGTAAAATATAGTATGCCTCATCTTAATATATAAAATAATAATGCTAAATGCTTAAAATATATAGTGTAATGTAAATGCTTAAAATGCCCACAATTAATGAAATGCTCTTAGATAGGATAAGTGTAATGCTCTGTCTTAAAATGCTTATAAGTGTATGTGCTAAGTAGCAAATGCACAATTAATAATGCTAAATGTAAAATGCCACAATTAATAAATGCTAAAATGTGGAAATAGAGGTCAGTGTAGTATAGAAGTGGCAAAATTAGGATAGTGTAATGAAGTAACAAATGCTTAAGGTACTTATGAATTAATAATGCTAAATTAAAATTAGAGATAATTATGGTATGTAAATACTTGGAAATGCATAGATGTAATTGCTCTAAATACTTAGATATATAGATGTAAGTAAATAAAGTAGAGGAGTAAGTTAATGTAGTAACAAATGTGGAATGCTTATGGAGTGTGCTCAAAGTAAGCGGAAGTAACATATGTCTTAAAGTAAATAAGATATGAAATGCTCATCTTAAGAATGCTGCCTCGTGTAAATACTCATCTTAAATGTGCAAATGTAAAGTAAAATAAAAGTAAAATAAGATGTATGAAAAAAAATACTCATGTAAAATGCTATAAGTGTCATCATCAGAAAATAAGATGTATGTAAAATACTCATGTAAATGCATAAATTGTAAATATAAAATGGAAGGAAATTAAGATAAGATGCTAATGTAAAATGCTATAAGTAAATAATGCTAAGTAGCCAATGAGATAATGTACTCATCTTGAGATAAGGTGAAAATGCTCAAAGTAGAATGCTAAAATTAAAGTCTTAAAATACTCCTATGCTTTCATGCTTAAAATGCACTCGTGTCTTAAAATGAATAAGTGTAATACTTTCAAAGTAAAAATTAATAAATGCTAAAGTCAGAAGAAATCAGATAGATGTAAAGTGCTCATCTTAAAATGCAAGTGTAATGCTTTCATCTTAAAATGCACATAAAGATATGAAATGCTAAAGTGGGAAGATAAGATATGTAGTACTCACAAAATGTAGATGCATAGTGTAATGCTAAAGTGCTTAAGATGCTATAGTTAAAATAAGTGCTTAAATGCTTATAAGTACTCGTCAAGATTAGTAGTATAGTGTGAAGCAAGTGCTTATAGTGTGTAAGTGGCCAATGCTTATAGTGCTTTCAAGTGTGAAATAGTATGAGAGTGGCAGATGCTTGTAAAGGTGTGAGTGGAGATTAGGATAAGTGCTTAAGATGCAGGTGTGAAGTGCAGGTAGAATTAGGATTGCTCAAGTGCTTAGATGCTGGAGTGTGAAGTAGAAGGTGAAGATGGGATTAATGTGGCAAGATTGCAGGTGTAAGTAGGTGGAGAAGTAGGATGTGGTGGCAAGATGCAGGTGTGAAAGTAGCCAGTAGGATAGTCATGCGTGTGTCGAGGATGGAGTGTGTGCTAAAGTTAGATGCCCTGGAGTGTGGTGCTCAAAGTAAGGTGCTGATGTGTGAAATGCAGATGCCTGGAGTGTGGAGTGGTCAGGATAGATGCTTAGGTGCTGGGTGGATGAAGGAATGGGATTAATATGAAAGTACTCGTCTTAGATGCTATAAAGATGTGAAATGTCGTGGAAGTCATGGATAATGCTCGTGTAGATATATAAGATGAAAATAATGCTCTAAGTGCTTAAGATACTTATAAGGTAACTCAAAGTAGCAAATGCTATATAGATATGAAAATTACTCTTGTCGAGCCAGTAAATGCGTGTAAATATAAATGTAAAATGCCAAATGTACTCAATGTGGCAATGCCTCAAATGCCTAAAATGCTTAAATGTGCTGCTCTATGGTAATGCTAAATGCTTAAGAATACTTTTATAATTAATAATATAAAATGGAGAATGAGATAAGTGTATAATGCTCATCTTAAAATGCTATAGTGTATAAAAATGTCTTAATGGAATAATGCTCATGTGTCCGAGATATAGTGTAATGCTAATTACAAAATACCTAGTGTAATACTCTTAAAATACTATTAATAATAATAAAATGTAAAATGCCAAAATGTAAAATGCTTAAAATGAAGATATAGATGTAATACTCTCATGAATAACAAAGTGTAATGCTAAATGCTTAAATACTTTCCTAAAATTAATAATGCTAAATGCTTAAAATACTTATAAAATGTAATGCTAAATGTAAATACTAAAAATTAATAATGCTAAAAGTGTCTCAGAATGCTTATAGATGTAAATGCTAAGTAGATATAAGGTAATAGAAGCTCATGTCATTATAGATATGTAAATGTAAATGCTATAGATATACTCATGTCCAAATACTATAGATAATAATGCTAAATGTAAAATGCTATAAATTAATAATGCTCTAGAAATGCTTAAAATGCTATGGTGTAATGCTAAAGTAATGCTATAGATGTAATGCTCTAAAGTAAGCAAATGCTGAGTAATAATGTAAAATGCTTAAAATGCTATAAGTGTAATGCTCGTGTCAAATGCTATAATTAATAATGCTCATGTGGAAATGCTACAATATAATGCTTTTAAAATGTGAATAAGATAGTGTAAAAATGCTAAGTAGATGAGAGATAGTGCAATGCTCATGTAAATGCACTCATTGTAGTACTCAGAAATGTGAATGAATATTACCTTAAAATGAGAGATAGTGTACATAAGTGCTTAAAATACTATAGATATGAAAATGTAAATGCTTAAAATAGCATAAGGTAATGCTAAAGTAGCAAAATGCTATAGTGTAAATGCTAAAGTAGCAGGAATGCCCCTAGTTAATGCTAAAATGCTTAAAATGCACTAGTTTAGTACTCTTAGATATAAGTGTAATAATGCTCGTGTCATGGAATGCTTACAGTATATTATAGTAACAAAGATGCTATAGATGTAATGCTAAAGTGTAAAGATAGAGATGAATTATGTATAAATGTGAATAAGATGTGTGCTAAAGTAGCAAAATGCTTATATGAATTAATAATGCTCGTCTTAGATGCCTCAAGTGTAATGCTCATGTGGAAATGCTATAAGGTAATGAAGTAAGAGAAATGGAGTATACAGTGTGAAATGCTAAGTGCTTGAGTATTTTTATAATTAATAAGGCTCGTGATGGAATGCTATTAATGAAAAATGCTCATCTTAAGATGCTTATAATTAATGCTCATGTAGATGCTATAGTGTGCCTAGAAGTGGCAAGTACTTATAGTGTAATGCTTTCATGTAGATACTTATAGTGTGTAAAGGAAGTGTTAAGCCAAAGATGCTTACAGTGTGGTTAAAATTAGATGCTTATAGTGTGAAATGCTTTCGTCAGAATTATATGGAGTGAATAGTACTTTCGTGTAAAATGCTATAGATGTGAAATGCTGTCAAGACCAATGAAGTATAGATGTAAGTATAAATGCTTAGAGTAGAGATAGATTAATAATGCTCGTGCTTAAGGTATAGATTAATGTGCTAAGTGGGAATGCTGCATGAATTAGTAATTATAGAATTAAGAAGATGTATAGATTAATAATGCTAAGGGGAGTATATAGATTAATGAAGTATAAGTGTGGAGTAACATGGTGTGTGAGTAGGAAGTGTAGATGCTGAGATTGAAAATGAGTAGCACAAGTGGCTTGAATTGCTTATGGTGTGAAATTAGCAAGTGATTAAAGGTAGCATGAGATTAATGTGGTAACAAGTGGCAGATGCTTATGAATTAATGGAAACATTGTGGAGTATGGTGTGAGGTGTAGAGTATTGGAGTAGGATGGTGTGGCACAAGTGTATAACAGAGTGTGAAGTGGAAGTGGCATAGTGTCATGCTCAAGTGGCTGGTGACATGAGTGTGTGCTTTAAGTTAAGACCAGTAGTATGGTGTGAAGTGTGGAGTAGGATAGTTAATGCTAATGAGTATAGAGGTATGGAGTAATTATAAGTCAGGATTAGCATGAACAGTGGTATAAGTGGCAGGTGCATGAGTGTGGCCTGGAGTGTGGAAG